GGCTTCCCCAGCTAAGATAAAGCAGTTGCATAAGCCAAGAAACACAATACTTTCCTGTAACATTATTGAGAAATGTTATCCTTAAACAAACAAACACCACCACCAAAAAAAGCAGCCTTTAGAATGAAACATACTAAACTCAGCTGCTTGCTCTAACCCAATGTGATCAGTTTACATTGCAAAATCAATCTCCAGTAATGGCTAAAACATAGAGGGAAAAGCATGAACTAAAGCACGTAGAACTGACATTTCTGCTACACACTTGCAGCTTTCAGCTGCATTTCCCTGTGGAAATACTGAGCCAAAAGCGTATCTAGAGCTCCTTATTTAATATTTACCAACGAAAATGTGCTTCACAAAGTCACTGTATCCTTTTTCCTCCCACTCACAATTAAGGCCTCCACAGCATCTCATGCTTTACAGTACAAGTTCTACAATTTCCTTCTTCCTTGGAAAAAAAAAACCAAACCCACCACACCAAAACAAACATCCCTTCATGTTAAACTCTGCTCTGTGACCACTTCACATATGAGAAACAAAAATAATTGTTTTCTATTAAACTTTTATGTTAATTATACGTTCTAGTGTAGCAGCTGCCTTTCCTCTCTCCAGGCTGAATAAATTTTGCTCGCTCAGGTTTTCTTCAAATGGCCACGATTCTGTGCCTTTGACCACTCGGTCTAATTTACAGGCTTGGGCAGCAATCAAGCTATGGGTGCACCATGGGAGCGCTAGAGTAGCTTTATATGTTCTGAACTGGTCCTGAACTCTCTTTTTGCATAATCTCCAAAATTCCGTTTCTGTTTTTAATCACAGCAGCACTGAGACGATGTCTGCAGACTCACAATGATTCTCACACCCAGCAGTAACAGCCTCTTGTGATATCTGTATGGTTATAGCTTCACTCAGTTTCACAATTACCATCATTTTGCATTCATCAACCACTTTCAGTTGATTTACTGCCTTGATGCCTAAGGTGGGATCTCTCTCCTTATTTGAGAAGTCTATGGCATAATCTCCTGTGTCTGAACTAGACATCTTAATTCCTTGTATGCCCATAATGTCTTTCAGACAGCATTCAAAACAGGACAGATGACTCACACCACTAAAATACGTACATCTCTCCAGTGACTCTTGAGAATCTTAAGAACCAGTTCAGATGTAAGTTCCACAATGTTAGAAAAACCTCAGCTATGTGTTTGGAAATTCTACAATTTACAATTTACAGTGACCTCTGTTTTTGACAGTCCTGATTAATTATGTAATAATAACAACTTGTCAGATCATAAAGTACCTGTCCTCCAGATGGTTTATGTATATGTCAAACAGAAGAGATTCCTGATTAATCCACTGGTAACTTACTTTAATAATAAATAAAGAACCATTTACTCTTGCCCTCTGTTTTCTTTTTAAAGATTGCCATTCCACTTGCTGTCCTCAGGATGGACAAAGACTACACTCAGCAGTTTACAGCTCAGCATGTCACACCTGACTTTTTTCAGACCACTTAAGTGAGGACCATTCAGTTTTGTCACTTAGTATTCTCTTCAAATTCAAGTTTTTTATTAAAATAATGGATTTCTATAAATCTCAGCTAAAATTCATTTTACTGACTGTTTACTTGAGATAGGTTTTTCTGCTTACTCTCTGTAAATAATGGCTCATGCAAAACAATCACTCTGACCTCTTTTATTAATGGGGGATATTAACGCAAATTAATTATCTCTTCTGGCATGCACTTGTCTTTCCTAAATACTCTATTTTTACCTTGATGAGGTTTTTTCAACATCACATTCCTGCAGGCTTCTTGCTTCAAATGAGTTTAACTCCTAGATTTGTGATGTTAGTAAACAAAATAATTAAAGTAATTCCCTCAAAATAATTTTTCAATCTCTTATCAAAGATTACTTCTAAAGCCTACTAGGCTCATGTTCTTTTCCAGTCTCCTTACTTGGACACAACAAATATTTTTAAAATAGTAGTTGGGTTCTGGATTTAGTTTTTCTTTTAACCTCCAGAAGATCTTTATTCTACTTTTCACCCATCCTTAGATTTATTTTTCGGCAAAAACAATTAAATAAGTTTTAGCCCGTTTCAGGATGGTGTTCCCTCCCTCAAGAATGTTTTCAGGAGTGGCATGTATGTGCAGTTAGCATGGACTACAAAAGATTCCCTCATAACCTGCAAGCATTTCCTTTTTACATAATCATTTTAAAACTCCCACTAAATAGACTCCATGCTTCTTCATAATTGCCTTTTTACAGAAGTTAAACAGTACATTGCATTTTCTTCTACTACATGGACATAGAAGTTCAGTTGCCAAAATTCACCTTCATTTGTACAGAACCTTTATTTTTAAAACAGGTACATCCTGAGTCAGGCTGTTTCTGCACCTTTCCTAAACACATTGAATTTTACCATTGTCCTAGAAATCCATACAATGAAATGCATAGCTAAAAGCTTTGAGGAGCTCACAGCAGGTCCAAGAATGGTTCAATTAGAAGCTCATGACTTTTAGCAATAGGTACAGACGATAGAATGGGAGATGAGGAGCCACAAAAAGGAAGTAATGGCCCAATCCCCAATTAACATAACTATCCATAAACCCAAATCAGAGGGAAATACTAACTGAGAAGGTATCATAAAGATCTCTTAACTGCTAAAGGCCAGGAAAGCACATAAAGGCTTCCTCACTGAAAATGTGACCTGTTCTTATCTCTTTCTCCTACGGAGTCACTGCTGAACACAGAATACTGGGCTGAGTGTGTTCCTCATACAGCTGCCCTTACATTGACTGTGGCAGACATCAAGAACTTGGAAAACTCAGAGCATGTCAACATTGAACAGAAAAAAAGAACCAAACAAAAAAATTACAAAGAAAAATTATCAGAACTTCACCTTTGAAGACTTGCAAAACCAAATAATATAGAAATCTCTGATCTCCCTTGAAGTTTTCCCGTCTTCCTTGCATTAATAATTACTGAATACAGTGTGAAAAATATAAAAACAAGGGCAACTGAACATATTCTACACGTTAAATGTTATTTCCAGTTTGAAGTGAAGAAACTTGGAATCAATAAATAGATTAACGGACAAACAACATTCTCCACAAAGTTCAGAAATTTCAGGAGCGAACCGAGTACATTACTGGATAGATGCACATGTTTTTCAGAAAAGGTTGCTGATCTGAATTTGGAAAAATACAAGGATAAAAAGTATTTCTCTTTTTGAGAGCACTTTCCACTAAGTCTTCATAGGGGCATTGCAAATATTTACTATTAGCAAACTCAGAAAACTCAAATTAGCCTGGTTTTATTTTCACACCTCTGAAAAGTCAGAGCACAAAAAGCAATCCTGTACACTGCTCAGTGGAAGCAATCACATGAAAACATCAGACTAAACAGAGGACAAACTGAGTACATTAATAATTTCAGAGAGACATGTTAATATTGATTTACAAACCTTCAGTGCCCAGATTTTGGTTACAAATTTTTGTTAAAATACCACTTATCTTTTAATAGAGACATTCATACACACATACACCCCAATTACCATTTTTTATTAGTTACCTCTTCTAAAGAAAATACTTAATGAAGGCAAGACAATACAGATTAATAAGGTCCTTGAGGAAATTAAAACCATTTATCTTTGTTATGCTTATTATCATATGATGTGGACAGTATTAAGTTTTACTGTGTCCTTACATTCTCATTTATTTGTTAATATTTGTACAACAGATACACCAGTTCATTATACACAGGTTTTAAAGCAAGGTTTTATGTGTTTGGGGGTTTTGTGGTTTTTTTGTTTTGTTTGTTGGGTTTTTTTGAAGGGAAGGTGAAAAAGGAAATCAAATACTGGCAACAAAATGTGCTTGTTTAACTGGATACCAAGGGTATCATTTTTTTTGAGTATGCTAATGGGAAAGAATAAGAACTTCTATCAGAAGCAGTTGAATGACACGATGCTTAAACCACATTAAATTCTGGTAATCTCTCCAGAAGAGTTTCCTGATAGATTGTTTATAGCACCAGGTTTAATAGTTTCTACTGCACACTACCACAGCTTTTCCAATTCTTTCAAGTATCCCCTGAGGAAAAACAATCTCAAAAAGAAAGGGGGGGGGGGGAAAAAAAAAAACAACCCACACAAACACCTAAACCAAACCCTACCCTCCAGGATGATGTAGATCTGGTTTACACTCTGGATAAATGGAAAAACAAATTTTGTCTGTGATGATACCAATTCCATTCTAACAAGCTTTATTAAAACCTGCTCAGTGGTGCACAAAATACTGGAGCAATAACACAGTAAAATTTGAAACAATTGAAAAAATAAAAAGACTGTACATCAAAGATATTGGAAATCATCTTTGCCAAACACTTCCACATCAAGCACAGAAAGTATCCTTTATTACTGAGTTTAGAGGACAAAAATTAATCACTCCATTTGCCCTGCTGATTGTGAGCTGGCAGGTCTTTTAAGTGGAATCATTCATGGAACTATAATGCATAAATCTATGTGGCCTGTGAGCATAAGTTATTTAATTATCCAGGACATTTTGATGGGATTTCAGGTAGTTTGCTTCAAATCTCTTTGATTCTTTAACTTCTAGATGGAAGAGATTCTAAATGCTAAGAAAACACTACTTTTATGCATCACTAATTTAGGGAAAAACTACTTTGTTGGGCATAGGCAACCTATTAATGTACAACACACTCTGAAAGTGTTCACATCAAAAGTATCCAGCTCTACAGACAGAGGAACAGCACAATCACCCCTGTGAAGGAACTGAACATACTACATTTCCTTCATGTGTGTAGGTTTCCATCACTTCGATAACGTCCAGCAGGACCATTTTACACCGACTTGATTATTATTCAAGACAATCAGAATTCTCAACCAAAAGTAACATACTTAGAGCACTGAGGCCTCATGTCCTCCCTGTTATTTCTAACAATAAAATGCTTAATTAAAAAGCCATATACACAGCACCTTACCTTTGATGCCATACGCATGAACAGTGAATTTTGATCATCTGCTGTTCTCATCTTCTCATTTTTGACCAAGTCCTTCAGGTTCATAGTATCATCATCCTGAAAATACCTTACTCTTTCTCTATCTATATGAGTAGGGACCTGGAAAAAAAAAACACATTGAAAATAAGTATTAACCTAGTAAGAAAGATATCTATAAAATTCAGATCCTAACAATTTTAATAAGTTTAAAGAATCATGAATCAAACTAAGCATATCTGAAACAACTGGGCTCGCTGCTGCATTTGACCTAAGGAAAAAAACCTTCACCTTTCTTCAACTGCATCAGCACATCTAAATAGAAATACAGCCTCTTCCCAAAATCACTGTATCATTTATATCCTTAAGCTATCAGATCTACAACAGGACTGACGTACAGTAAGTCACTGAAACAGTTATTCAGCTCACAAAAATGGAATATTCAAAACAAGTCATCTTCATCATTTACAGAAGCTTTTGAATCATCAAGTCACAGACACTACTTAACACAGCAATCACAAACAGCACTGAAAACCTGTATAAATGTGGTACCTCTGCTAGGAAACGTCGGCATCTTAGAGTGCACAAGAGAACAGGGTTTGTCCTTTAAGACAGGACAAAACTAAATCCTGAAGAAGCACAGGATAGGGTCAGTAACATAAAGCAAGATGGCATTTTCCAAAATGGAAACAACAGGAGAAGGACAAGCAATTCCTCATCCTCTTATGCCTTTCACTCCTCCACAGCAGTGTTACAAACTGATCTATCTTACCAATCAAGAACATGCTTGCTGAAAATAAAAGGTATTGTCATGTCCTTTTATCCCAAGAAGACTGAAATGTTAGTTCATTTCCTGTTGCAAGCAATTATCCTAAGAATAAAGCACTGCTCCAGTCTCTAAGCTGCACACTGTTCCTCAAAGCAGTTTTTTTACAAAGATTAGGTCACAATTTTCATTACCAGCAGTAGCAGTATTTTTGATCAGAAGAGAAGAAAAAGATAATTAGCCCCCTGACACCTGAATATCTCAGTAAAATCTTTCTTATTCTGGAAAGATTTACCTCTGCTAATCTTCATTATTTACATAACTTTATGTAATATAAACTACTTGGCTGCGAGACTGTGATAACTTGAAAAAGTTACTTTCCCTGGCATGTGAATTTAAAAAAAAAAACCCTGAAGTGATCCTTAGGGAAAAGCAGTCTGAAAATAAACTTAATATGTACTCTAACACTTAATTACAATCATCTTCTGAAAGGAACTTTTTAACCACCTATTGACATTCTGATAAGACACACACTAATTACAGCATCATAAAAATAAGAGTACAAAATCATCTCGGGATTACACTTCCACGCTCCCATTTGTCAGACTTACCATCTGTCGCTTCCTCCGTCCACCTTTTGGCTCCTGTGGTTCAGCTGGTGTGGTCACAGGCCATGCCCTCCCACTTTGATCTGTTCTGACAAGGACCACTTGCTCATCTTCTTGTCGGCTTGAAGCCTGTGTCAGGTTTTCACATGTATTTTAAAATAGATGATACAGACAAAACCAAAAGAAACACCTAATCCACACTAAATAAATGGTTTAAGTGCTAAGAGATTAAGTAACAGGATCTTTACATTTTGCAGGTTCATTATAATTCAAAGCACACAGTATTACCTTACACAAGGCAGTCTTTTCCACATGCAAAAAGAAAAATATCAAAAGCACACTTAGCTAGTTAGGTGCAGAGTTAAAAAATCATTTCTAAAAAGAACCAAGTTTGTATTCTTGGTTCTTTCTCATAAAGCTTCATCCCCAGAAGAAATACAGTGCTTCTGAAGACTTAAATATATAATATTTAATTAATATACACCAACACCATTATAGCAGTGTATTCCTGAAAACCATCTGAAAAGCTGCAGCATGTTACCACTTCTGGGCTTTTGGTGGATTAAGGATGTTGTGGGTTTTCTTGTGTTTGGTGTATTGTTTTTCCTTTTCAAAACTTGGCTAGCACACTAGCCAAAACATTAGTTATCACTTTTCAACACATTCCCTTAGGTCAGACTTTTGTTTCCTACACTGCACATGCCACCAATACTTTTATCATAATGATCACTTTTATCATAGTGTAACACTGAAATCTCTAAAGTCTTGATTCTAGGATACGCAAAAAAGGAAATACAAACAACTCGACCCCAGTTTTCTCTTTCTATGGTGAAGAAGAAACAGATGAGTAGATATACATTAAAACAAATAAAATCATAAACCGAGGCAGAAATCACAGCATTTAAATCAGCTGATTCAAGTTGCAAAATATGTGGAAACAGAAACAAATGTTTACTTGATATAAGCCAGAAGAGTCATATGCCTTTGATGCCAATCATATTCAGTCTCACAAACTACATAAACCCTGGACCCAAACTACTAGAAGTCACGACAAAGAACTAGTCTACTTGTTTAAGTTTATTGAAGTTTCATTTCATACTTAAAAGGCAGATAGACCACTACTGAAGAGGCATCTATGTCACAACTTACATAGGGATGTGATGGGATGCTATCATTAAAAAGTGCAAATCCATTCTGCATTATGCTCCTAATCTCTACTTCAGTAGAAAAGAGGGAAGAAAAAAACACCAACAAAAAACCCTATTAGCTATGACTGACAGTTCTGAGATTATATCATAGAGGAGAAACAGAACAGTTCTGAAAACATTAAACACTGGATAACAAAGTTCAGAGTGGTCCTTACCATTAGACATAGACACAGAAGGTTAATATGAAAACTACTGGTAACATTGATTTTTCTTTATCAGAACCCAAGATGAAAGCTGCTAATTGCCTGACTTCAGTTCAATCTGTCAGCCACTGACAGGTAAATGGATAATAAAATCACCACCCCTCATACGAGCACTGAGGAGATGCCTCAATTTCCTTGTACAAACAGGAGCATTTTGTCAGATAGTGTAAATCCCTATTACACTGGGCATCTTCAGAACTGTAAGATCAGAAGCAAACACCCGCCTCAAGTTATTACCTACAAGTGAGGTCACCTTAGTTTGGACAGAGAAGTGTAATCTCTGAACTCCTAGTCTACCCTTCAGCACTTAAGATCTTACAAGCACCTAAGTTTTTCCTCGGTGAAGTTCTAGAGTCATAACGAGTTACGCTTCCGAGCACACCTAAAACTGCTCCCACTTTGCCAGAGATAGATGGCTTAAGATCTACTCCATATCCAAACCCAATCAGAATGCCTGGACTATCAATCCTTATCCCTAAGTTTTATCCCTGGTCATCTTAGTTCAGATCCAGTGCTCATTAACACTCTTGAGTTAATTAAGAAAGGCTGTGGCCACAGATTTAGTTCAGAAAAACATACCCTTTAGTAAAAATACTCTGGAGGAGTATCATTCACTGATTTAACTTCAGTGCAGCTCAGGAAGATGACCAATCTCTCTTCCATGACTGCTCTATCCACCAAGCAGAGAGAGGCAGCACACATATGAGCACCTATGAACCCAGATCATTATCACACAGATCAGTGGGGAATGCACTCCCATGGATTCCAGACTGGTATTTTGTCTGAAGGAGTGGAATGAATATATCCATTTCCCAAGTAACATCTTAAATACTTCATTATTCCTTACATACTGTAAACTCAATTTGTAGATACTTACAGTTGCAGTTTACACTACTGTTGCTAAGCTGCCTAAAAGTAAAGCACACGCATGGCAAGAGCTGTTCCATATCACTTTACAAACCCAGCCTTCAGTCTTCCCATACTTCCATCAGCTCCCACCAACTACCTTCTCATTGGAACAGAGCTTACTACCTTGTCAGCTGACAAACATCCATTCAGATGATGGACATCCTGCCAAGAGCCAGCTTAGCTGAGCTCTCTCTGAAACAGGGACAATGGTATATTCCCACTTTATAGATGTGTTCTCAGAATTAAAGATAAACATACACACGTGATTTTTTTTTTTTTTTTTTTTTACAGGCAGAAATTCTTCACCAGAAAAATAAATATTGAACTTTCTAGAAGATTAAGAATAAAAAAATAAATCAATTCAAAAGCCTGAGAGCTTCTTGATTATACCACAAAGACGTATAGGTAAATCAGCTGATTGAATTAGAGCAAATAAAGGAGACATCACTAAATCTGGTGATATTAGGGCAGCCTTTGTCAAATCTTATAAACAACTTTATATAATCTCAATTTGAAGCTATTTTCCACCAAACAACTGATGTCTGCTTTACATCTGCCATGCTTGCCTAATGAAAGCTTGTCCCAGAAACCTCAATAAAGTCTGAAAATTCTGTAGATATTGAAGCATGCTTGCTTAATTAGATTTTTCCAATAAAAAAGTTATATGAAGCTAGAAGTTATGGACCAAAAAGCTGTCCAGGTAAGCCAAACTCCTCTCTTCTTTATTACCAAAGGCAAAGCAAACCAAGATGTCCAACACTGGTCTGGCTGCAACCACAATAAAGATGTTTTCAGAGAATGTACATACAACATTATTTTTAATTACAACATTTCCAGCATAAGTTAGATCCATGCCTCAGCTGTTAATTTTTTACAAGATAAGGTGTTTCCTCTCTATTGGGAGGGGGACAAAAAGTGATTCACCTCAATAGGTGAATAAGGCCACATGCCTTCACCTCACACTTTTTATGTGCTAAAGGTCAGACCTGGCTAGAGATAGAGACAACCAGAGGGTGAACTATGTTTTCATGTCATAACTATGCTGTTCAGACAGTTGCAAGACGTAGTTATTGCTACAGCAGTAAAAGCACTATTAATCTGAAAACATCACATCAAAAAAAGATTAGCTTTAGATGAGCTAAGACAAAGGACAACTGGGTGGAGAAAGATGACAACATGAGCTAAAAGCAGCAGGCCGTGCATCATGCTTTGAAATGGGATACAAATGCAAAGGGACTGTTCTGCACACAGTAACAAGGAGGTCACCAATGCAAGTTGCTAGGGCATTTCTGCATGTGAAAAAAAAAAAACAAAAACAAAACAGAGCAGGCAGACATTTGTGAATACTGCAATGCTTAAACAACCTATGACTTAGCAAGGGTCAGTACTGTGACAGAGGGTAAAAACAATTCTAACAGTTGAAGGAGCTTGGGAAGAGGAAAGTTAAAGACAAACAGAAGTTTCAAAAAACAGAATGAAGGGGGGAGGGGAAGTTTCCTAAGGAGTACCTAACTTGACAAGAAGAAACTCACACATCTGCAACACCTGGTTGAAATAAGCACAAAATTTTTTTTGAAATTATAAAAGAGACAAATACACTCACAGGATAAATATTTTAGACAACACAAGATAATCACGTAAAGGAAAATCATAAAAAGAGCAATATGAAAAGGTAGAAAGGAAACAGAATCATTTCTGAAATATATACACAGCAGATAGAGAAAACAAAGATGATGTTAACACTGACAGAACACATCATAAGAAACAGAACAAATGCCCTAGTTCTTTAAGGACATGGATAACTCTACAAGTTTGGAAACTGAAGACATAACCACAGATGTTGCAGTGAAAACTCAAAAATCAGAGTGTTGCTAATTTATCTGAAATTAAACAGACCTTTGTAGAGGAAAAAACACACACCTTGTTTTTGGGCAGCACTCCCAAGAGGACTAGTTGAATCCATATACAGAACAGGAATTCAATGAGTGGAAAGATGCACCTGACTGAGGATTTCACATAAACAGGACCCTTCAGAAATGGTTAGTTGTTAGATTATTCATTGAAAACTGTGGAGGGGCCTGCTGCCCCTACAGAATTTCCAAAAAGATGCGGAATGCACATGAATTAGGTCTCTCTCTCACCACATCTTTGTGTTGCTGAGACACAAAAAGGGATGGAAATTTCCGAGAAGGAATGGCTGCAATTTTTCTACTCCCAGTCTCCAAATTTTCACCTCATTGTCCACGCTTTTCAGAAAGATATATGACTAAAAACAATACACATTACAGCAGCAATGATGCAGCAGCTGCACAGAAGAGTACACATCAGATTCTTCTGTCAACTTACAAGCATCTAATTTGTTTTTAAAACATCCATCGAAGATTTAAGTGTCTTCACTAAAATTTTTAAATTACAGACATTTCAAAAAGGATGGCACCGTTGAGCAGCCTATTATTTTCACAAAATGAACAGAATTCACAAGGTGTTCTACATGTCAAAAAAACAGACTTTATGTGGCTTTCAAGACAGGCTCCAAAACATTAAATCCTAACAACAGTTGCACTTTCTTTTTATTTCTTGTTGCTTTATTTCATGCCAATACACTAACCTACAGGCAGCAGTGGAAGAGTATCTACTGGATCTGAACCATGGAATGAGTTGGGGTGGGAGGGGAACTCAATAAAATAGAGCTGCCTGTGCGACCAATCAGATGTTTCTTCTTTCTCTTAATGCATCTGATACATCAAATTTGTCACTAAGTTTCTATCCTCATGAAGGTGAACTGTTTCACTTCATATATTACAGACCC